AACAACCAGGTCCATTCTGAGTGAATATTGAATATGCCTGCCCAGCCCTGCCTGTCCTCCATTGATCCCCAGAGCCTTTCAAGATGTACTTACAGTGAAAGACACAGCTGGTGGGGCTGGGTCAGGTCTCTCCCCCACAGTTGGGGGGAGGTGGGTGCTGATCCAGGATTCACACTGGTTGGCTTGCGTCCAGGGTCCTTTTGAGTCTGCGTCATGTTGCTCTCCCCAGTTGTCCCTCACTGGGGGTGGAAGGGAAGCAAGGGGCAGTCAAGGCGTGGTTTAGAGCTGGAATCACCAAGAGGAGAGGGTGTGGAGCACGGAGGGGAGGGGAAGATATGTAGGAGCAGTGAGAGACAGGTGCATAGGACAGTAGGGCCTGGGGGCCACACTGGGGAGCTGGGGTCTCTCCTGAGGCCCCCTCCCCAGGCCCTGGGAGCAGTGGGGCAGCTCAGCCTTCGTGGAAAGGGCCCATATTGTGCTCCAGCCGCCGCAGCCCGGCTCTCTTCTCTCCAGGAAACGTCTCTGACCCTTCCAAGAAAAACTACGTGGTTCAGTGGCTGTCCCGCCCAGATCCCGATGCACCCATGGCCAAGACCTCGTCAAGTAACCGGCCCGTTTATAACTCTGCCTCTGCCCTCCTCCCGTGCATGCCCTGCGCCCTGTGGAGCTTGCCTGGGGCCGCTCTCCTCTCTTTCCATGGAAAACTCCCCTGACTCGTCCTGAGTCCTCTCTCGGTGAATCTGTTTCCTCCCGAGCCTCCATGCTCGGCTGTCTCCTTCGGAGCTTGCGTCTGGCTGCAGGGCCAGCTCCTCGCAGAGGCGCGGCCTAGGGACACCGGCCTCTCTGGCGGGGCTGGGACATGGGCGGCTGGTAAAGGGGCAAAGATCCGTTGTGGTGCTGGAAGTGACACTACCCCTTCGCTCTGGTGACCGCCTTGTAGGCCCACGTTCCTCCGGGCCGAAGCTGCAGTTCACAAGTAGAGGGGAAGCCGCTCTCTCCCCCGCTCAAAGCCCGTCCATCCAACAAGGCCGCGGGGCTCTCCGGGGGGCTGCGGCCGTCTGCCGGCCGGGGGGCCGCACCCCGAGTTTCTGGCGGTGTGGGGGGGAGCTTTCCCTGCGTCGCTGCTGTTGCTGCTGCTGCTGCTGCCGCCTCAATGCTGTTTCCTTCTGACTCGTGAAACCGTGGCCTGCTGTCGTCTGGCCTTTGTTTGTGTCCACGCACACAGCCCTGGGCCCCGATCCCCATCCTCTGAGGGGCTGGGGGGCAAACGCTGGAGGCAGGGGGACCTGAGCCTTCAGTGGACATTGGAGACAGCCCACCCCTTCCACTCTCTGTCCTCCATCAGCCCCAAAGGCCTGTCCTCATCCTGCGCACACGGACCCCACCCGCAGGGTTGCGATAACCTGAGCGAGGGCGGGCTTGTTTCTTGGGGATGTGTCTCACACACCGGTGTGAACAACTACAGAATTACCTCAATTTTTATTGCTTTTTTGCTTAGAAAAACAAAACTATGTAGAAAATGCCTTAAAGTTGAAAGGTAACTATAGCAGCTGCTGGCTCCAGAGTCCGAGGTGGGGTTGGAAGTGAGCAGGACGGAATCCGACAGGTGGGAGGCAACAAGGTCTAGGGACTGGGCCAGGTGACCACCTTCCAGGACAAAGTCCCCCGCATCTGAAGCCGCAGGCCCTGGCCCGTCCTGCTGAGTGGGCGTGGAGGAGATGTGGGGTCCCCTTCTCACTAAACCTTCCTCGGAGAGAAACTGGGCGCTGACTGTTGGGCGGAGCTCAAGGCTCTAATGGCGCTGCCTTAGGCGGGAAGGGTGACACCCCCGGGACCCTAGTTGTAACCCCTGTAGTACTTCCGCCCAGTCGGTCCATCGTGTCCCACACCCAGCTGCCTCCCATCAGTGAATGTGGCATCCCTGCTGGACCTGTGCCGCACCAGCTTGGTCACCCCCTTGCCCCCGCCCTGCCCCCTCCCAGGCACTAATTACTGTTATGTAAATACTTGGTGTGTAACTGCATACTAATCCTCACGACTGTTAACTTCCAACGCGGACCAGGCCATGTGAGGGACTCATGGGACTCCTCTGGGGAAGGTGCAATCCGGTCCTGGGCATTGTGCTGTCTATATGCACTTTGGTTTTTCAGGGATATTTTATTAGTGTTTTGTATGTATTTAATGACGTATTATATCGGTTCCATTATTGTTGCTTTTCCAATTTTTTTTTAATGAGACAATGTTCATGTGTGCCAAAGTGACTGTGAAAATGACCTTTTTTTTCTTACTAATGGTTGAAAGACTTCTGTCATGCATCCCACCAATAAACTCAATAAAAGTTCCGTCAAACTGGGTGTTCGGGTCTGGCAAAATCATGGCTGCTTCTCTTCCCCGCCTGGCCCACACACTGTAGTCTTGAGGGATCTGTCAGTCTGGAACAGCAATGACTGCCTTTGTGTCCACGTGACTGTACCCCCAAAGCCCCACTATGTCCATTTCAAGCCTTCCCTGTGCTGCCGGGTCTGCCCCACCACCTGGAAAGCATTTTTTAATGGATCTATTTTTCACAGCACTTTTAGAGCAGCTTGACAGAAAATGTGTGCAGAAAGTACAGTTTCCATATACCCTCTCTGTCCTTTGCATACTTTTTCTGCTATTAACATCTTGCACTCTTGTATGACTACTAATATCTTGGTCCATGTGTTACCGCTGATAAAGCAATACTGATCCACTGTCACCAACCAAAAACCTGTTCTAAGAGAAACAACAGAGTCACACTCGGTTCAGGCTGAAAATGAGGAATCTTATTGAGGAACAGAGAGATTTATGGATCGGGAGAAACTGTTACACTCAAAGTTCAACAGGGTTCTGTAGCGGCGGAGGGGAGTGAGGCATTCTGTACGGCAGAGGAAACAAAGGCCAGGTGCTCACAGGCACGAGGTGAGCGCGTGGCCTAAACCACAAAGGGGTTGTCAGACCACACTCTGTCCTAAAAATCTTTCTTCACATTAGCTGTTCCATTTGTCAATATCCTAGACGATTGTGAACTAATCATTCTTCCAGGAACATCCAGTTCAAACTTTCTGTGCCAACATATATCTGATCCCTTCCCCTTAACTTAAATGCCAGGCTATGGAATGCTTCAGTTCTTACAGATGCATGTAATAAGCAGGAGTAGAGTCAAGGTCCTAGTGAGTGAATCCAAATGCACTCTGAGTCAGTTTTTCTAGTGATGGCCGCTGCCTCCGATTTGGGAGTTCACTGACACCTGTCCCTCCTTTTGATCAAGCCACCACTAGTAGGGACAATTCACTCAGGCCGTCCCCCACCATGAGTCATCCTCCTTCAGCAAGGGGTTTCAGGTGTGCTGTAAGTGCGCAATGTGGAAAGCATTAGTCTTAGCATCATTGGGCTACTTTTCGATCTCACCTTGCCACCGCTGTAGGTCTCATCTTCAGGATGAGGTGGTTATGGATAAGTGTCGCAGACAAGGCCACATTAGAGGAAAAGCTTGGCATTTCTAAGAAGAGGCTAAATTAAATTCATTCTGCTTGGTAGAGTTCATTTCTTTTAAAGGCATAATTTGTTGCATGACTAAATATTCTGAGGGTTGATTGTGGCAATGTGAGCTGCAGTGCATTTAACAAGCTGTATAATACTAACTACTATGGTTAAGAGCAGTAAGCAAACTAGTAACAAGGAACATTACCAGATCCAGTCCTCTAGCGCAACCAGCTAAAAATATGAATACGTATCAGAACAATCACGGGGGGATTGGTATGTGAGCAGATGGCTTTTGCTATGCTTAAGAGATATCTTGTTCTAGTTCTCCTGAGCTATTTCTCCAAGAACAGCAAGAGGTATTGACAATAACATGGACTCCACCGTATTGATGTAGGACAGTGGTTCTCAACCTGTGGGTAACGACCCCTTTGGGGGTCGAATGACCCTTTCACGGGGTGGCCCGATTCATAACAGCAGCAAAATTACAGTGATGAAGTAGCAACAAAAATAATTTTATGGTTGGGGGGGTCACCACAACATGACAAACTGTATTAAAGTGTTGCGGCATTAGGAAGGTTGAGAATCACTGATGTAGGAGAACATCAAGAAATATTTTTAGTCTAAGACAACTTTAGCAAGAGATTCTGAGGATTTCTGTGACGCATCATTCTGTCAGGAACATTGTCAATAATTTGAGCCATGGTAGCAGAACCTAGATTTTTCTAATTGGGACATACCATAAATTGGGACAAATGCCCAAAGACATAACTAGCCCTATCCAGATCCAGCAGCAATTATCTGAGAAGGAAAGTCTTCTCATTTAAATACATATTAAGTTCAAGTTACTATTCCACGGTGAACTGTCACTGTATGAATGAGTACTAAAGGGAATTTCAAAGATGCCAAAGTGCATTGGCCCCATGTATTCCAAGCACCTAAACATGGTAAGACGCAAGTGTAGGGTGTCATTAGATTTTTTTCCTTAAATAGGCTGATCCTCTTCATAGGAAAGAAAACATATCCAGATGGGGTCCATAGCACATATATTCTAGTTTTCTTATTAGGAAATGTAATGGACTTAGTTTTCACAAGCCAAGTTATAGTCCATGAATCATCACAAGTGAATAATTATCACAATTCTGTGTGCTTCTAAAGTCTGGCACAAATTGGAGATTTTGACAACTTTCAAGACAACTGCTTACTAATGAGGAATAAGACCATGGATTACCAATAAAAGTGCACCACTCAGGACGGGTGGAAAGCTCTTGGGGATCTACCAAGACATGAGTAAGATTAAAATAAGGTGCTGGCAGATCTGGAGACAGCCATAATTTAATGCTAATGATGTGTTTAAATGATTTTTTTTCAAAGCCAGTGGCAGAATTAGTACATTGAAGTAGGTATGCTCAGGGGGTCAGAACAGTTGTGCATAGCCCGAGAAGACTGGCATATCCAACATTAGGTAAAAGTATCGGTGCTAGCCACTGACTGAGCCAATTTGTTAAAGGTGTTTTATTCTTAGTATCAGTGATGGTCATAATATTTATTCATAAAAAGATTTTAAGCTTCTTCATGGGTAAAAGCTAATTAAAAATAGAGAGTTAATTAGTGATTGTACAATAAATTCTTCTAGTAAATTTACCAGACGACAAAACTACACTGATAAAACAGAGCTATTATAAAGGTTATAACTATTAGGCCAACTGCAAAAATTTCAATTGCTGGGATAAGAGAAATGCTTCCTTAATAAAGGTAGATTTGATCATTACTAGAAATACCAAGAAATAGCAGTACAGGCGTGTAACACTACCAAGACCATTAGACTACCAATAGCTAAGCTAAGTCCTGTTCCATG